TATTTAAAATGAGATGTTTATCCTGTATTTGATTGTGTTTATCTGCAGATAGTTACACGAATTCAGTTATGGGATGAAATCGAATAGGGATGAAATTGTTTAGGGATGAACGGGTTTAAGAGTTTTAAGAGTTTAAGAGTTTTTAAGAGTTTTAGCCAAATGCTTTATAATATAGTATAGATAAGAATTTTATCATGTATTTAATTATATTTTTCTACAGGTAGTTACACGAATTCAAACATAGAGCTTAATAAGTTATACTTACACACAATTTATATGAAAAATCTTAAATTTTAAGCAATATGCATCAATAAACAGTACATTATGTATAAAATATGTTTTTTAAGAGTTATGTCACATATTTTATAATATAGTATAGATATTTAAGATATCATATAATTAAGATTTTAAAATACATAACCCTAAAATAAAATAAAATACATTTATTTACCTTATTTTAAAGGGAATGTGATCATTTATTTTATATTTAAAGCATAAACAATATAAATAAACATGCCCCACGGCGTACGTTAGCAACCAAGAGATTCCTAACCGTCATTATGGACAAAATTGAAGGCACGCCCCCGCCAACGCACCATCCAGCATTATCCCCAAAAGATTCCATACTCGTTTACTGCAAAAATTTATAATTTCGCCCCCTTCATTTGTATTACATTTCCATTTCCAACCTTCTTTTTCATTTTCATTTAACTTTTGCCACAATACTTCTATAAATCAACAATAGTGTTCCTAAAAACAAATAAGCCGCAACCGAATAAGCAAAAAAGGGTTTTCTAGTTGACAAAATAAGCACTCGGCTTGACAAATAAGCCGTAACCGAACAACTTTTTATCCGAACAAGCCCTACTATTAGATAAAGACCGATAATAATTTATTAACTCTATCAATTTTGTTTTTTGAAATTTTATCTGATTTTGTAATCGTGTTATTCCTCTATATCTTGTAGCTATATGTCTTATAAATGCAATGTAATATGCCATATCAGATTCTTGAAATCAGTTTTTGGTTCCGATTAATTGATATTATGTACATATAGGTATAAAAATGCACAAAAGCACATATTTATGCATCAAAGACAAGATGGTCTTTTTAGATCGTGTGGTTGGGCAAAGATATCAAATCGAGAGAGATGATATGTTTTGAGCAAGATACCAAATATGGCTACAGTCCAAATGATTGCGATATGTTGCCTAGAATTGATCCCACTGGCTAATCCTAACTTGACATCCATATATAAGATGCAACATGAATTACAGATTGTGAGTCAGACTAACATATAAATAGATTCGTGTTATGTCAGTATAAGAAATGAGCACATTTGACGACAAGCTGCTAGAACGCCTATGAATATGAGGCAATTCTACTTGTTTTAGTTAAGCTTGCAAGCAATTTCTTACCCCTATACGCATATATACTAATGGTATAACATCGTATCAATCAAGTCAAACAAATGAACAATAGTTTATAGAGGTAAAAGTTGAATAAACCTAGCGGTAGTGTGAATAGATGAACAAATCATTCAAACAAGGGCAAAATATGAATGAACGATAACACTGTGTGCACAACAAGAAGTCGATGACAAAGCAGATTTTGGATCTTGGATATAGGTAAGACAAGGTGGTTTTCCAAGGGTAAAAATGCACAAAAGACACATTACTCGAACTTGATCCGAGCCCAGCTTAAGGACCAAACCCAAATGGGAAAATCCATTAAAGACCGAACACGGGCCTAGTCCAGTTCTTCAAACTTAAAATGGTTCTATTTTCAAAACCATAACTATATTTTTTTTTATTAACCTATTACCTGGATATTCAACCCGCTATGCGAACCGACTAATCCCAGGGCAACCACCTACTTTGCAGATAGCCCGAAGTCACCGCATTTGAACCTCCATGGCCAAAAAGAAATTTTTTTTGCTACTTGGATTTGAACTTGGGACCTCCTGGTATTTGACCTTTGGAGCCAAGCTCAAACCAATCAGGCACCACCAGTCATAAATGTAATTTTATCATTCAGAACATTTGCAAAATAATCATTTTGCACCTAACAAACCATTTAGAAATAAAATGGTTATTCATCATTCAGACTGTCTGTTTAAACAGATAAAACAAACAACACTCGATCTTAATTCATAGCAAAACCCATGTTTCATTGCTTGTAACTCATTGCAAACATCTTTATAAGTAAACAAAACTACAAATATATGCATTTGACTTCCTGCCTGCCCTAGAAAAAAGGAAAAAAAAAATTCAAATGATTTACCCACCTTCACATTAGATGAATTAGGGTTCTTGATTGTGAAGCAAACCCAGAACTTCAAAGACATTACCAAATTATTGGTGAGGTTTTGAACAAGATATAAAGCAATCTGTGATTTTCTGATCAAATATGGAGAAATCACAGCCATTGCTGCTGCTAAATAAAGAACTAACTGGATTATGCATTGAAGACCAAACAATCTAGATCTTCTGTTGAATGAGAACCTGCAAAATCACAAGACAATGTTACAAAATCAGTACAATATTTTTTGCTTTTTGGCAAAGTTTCAACCTATAATTACCTCTTTGTTGATTAGCAACCATAACAAAATAGTGATAGTTTTGAATTCCGTTCACTAGATTCAACTAGTGTGTCTTTAGTGCGTTTGGTACGTGAGACAGAACAATATGACATTAGAATGGGACAGAACAATACTGTTTTTTTTTTGCCCCACCACCAAAATAGGTGGACAAAAGTTAGGGAAACGAGACAAGGTTCGAAAAGAGGTAGATTAAATGCACCCCTACCTACTAATTTTCTCCTCATACACATCAACATCAAGACTTGCTTTTTACATTTTTAATGCGTGATTGACCTGATTCAGACAAAAATGAGTGTGCATATAACAGTACTCGAGGAAAATTATTGAACTGCTAATGTCAAATCAAAACCTTAAGAACCTCCCCAATTCTTTCACCAGACTATCTCCTGGTTCTGTTCAGTCAACAAGTACCTTGCATATTTTACTAGCAACCGAGAGCATCCATCAAACCGTGTGATCAGTTAAATGTTGCTTAATCAAACACATAACTTCTCTATTTGGGTAGTTTAGATATTTGATTAAAGTCAAACATTTTTCTTATCAAACTGTTACCAGTTGAACATATAAAAGAAAGCAGTCATACACACAGATTCAAAGAGAAAATGAACAAACTAAAACACCGCCATCTTCTCGTAAGACCAGTGTCAATCAAGAAGATAATCACTTAGGGGCCCTTTACCAAACAGGTAAGTGCTTACCAAAATCACATTACCTTACCGGATGAATATGGTAGGGACCAAGAGTCTTACCCGGTAAGTGCTTACCGGGTAAATTGTTGCATACAATGCGTTTTCGTGAACTAAAATCTTACCCGGTAAGTAAATGATAGTGTTAAATTTTACCGGTAAGCGCTTACGGGGTAAGTGTTTCGTAAAAGGCCCCTTAATGTCAGCACTGACAGCAAAGTTTCGAAAGTAGGGCAAAAAGAAGGGAAGAAAATTGGAGCAGATGAAATGAATATTTGCTAGAAGCATCCTTTTCCAGCCTCAATTGAACACACTCAAAGATTTCTTATAGTTGGTCTCACATAACATCACAGTTGCTATCAGTTTCTGCAATATTTTCAACCAAAGACTTTTGTAACCGTGGATGTCTGGGCCAGCTTGCGCACACCTCGACTAATCCCATGGGGCCATAAAAAAAGGGACAGGAAAAATTCCACAGTGGCATTGAGAAGACTTGAACCGGCAACCTATGAGGAGAACCCCAAGGCCTAGCCTTTATTTAAGGTCGCCAGAGTCCCACTTTCATATATAGTCCCATGGTCTTTTAGATATATGCTTATGTTCCATTTCTATAGCTTCAAACTTATAAACCAGTTTTTATGTGTTGTATTATATATGAAACATCACATGTGAAACATGCAAGTTGTCCATATAGCGTTATGAAACATCCCGTACTGTTTTGCGTGTGAAAAGAAAAACATGACATACATTTCATATATGAAACACAACACACACATCCACACAATCATTCCAACTCTCACTTCTCAACAAAATATATTTGATAAATCTATGAATTCAAAAGAGTTTCAAGACCAATATAAACGATATAAAACAAGTGTATAACATGAGGGTACTCTGATTAAAATATTCAAAAATTGAGAGAAAGCATTCAAGTCCCATAAAGCCGAGAAAGAGATGGCTCTTATAGCAACAAGGCCTAAATAGATCAATTATGAGAATGACTTGACCATTGACTCGAATCATACGAGTGGTGACAAAATTTGCAGAATTCTGTAAGAATGATAAAGGAAGCCGAAAGGTGGTGACAGGCAGCAAGTTAAAATTACTGATACAGATTCTCTTCTTTCACTAGAGTATAAGCACACTTAAAAAGCATGCACAAACATGTACCCACAATAAGAACTTCCAACATTAATTTTGCAGGTGGTGTCAACATCCTCACTGGTGAGACCTCCATATCCATGGTGAAAGAACCATAACCCTCATGTTTAGTGTTCACAGAGCTTAACACACCATACATTCAAAAAGTACTTCTAACAGTTAAGATATTGAGTGTTTAGCGAGAACTACAAAGATTAGTTTAAAGAAAACACAAGTGGTAGCAAAACTTATTGACAAACTCTAGAACGATTATATTTACTATAGACCGTGTATTAACAACAATAAAACCTCATGTTGCCCATAAACCACAAAAATTATGACCATATCATGATACGTACAGTGAAAAGAAAAATCTAACCAGGTCAGCTGCTTCTCAAACTACAAAAACTGCAAGAAGCGCATGCATCACAGCCCAGTAAAGAATAAGACTCAGCCGCAGAACAGGCTGTCGCATCAATGCCCTGTCACATGAAACCCTGAAAGATGGCATTTCCGGAAAAAACATGAATCATGATATAGAAAGCTCAAACTATAATGAAAAGGTGGAGAGTGGGAGAGAATAAAGTTACACACATATATGTACAGACAGAGAGAGAGAGAGAGAGAGAGAGAGAGTCTACCATAAGCCATCAACGAAGTCTGTAACAGGCCTAGTGAATCTTGGGACAAGTTTTGATGTAGTAAGAGACTTGAAACCATGAGCTGAGTGAACAACAAAATAAAAGTAAATATAAGGATAAGGAAAGACTTGCTATACCCTCAACCAGTTTCTTGATTGGCTTTCACCAAAAAAATTACACATTTCCTACTTCCAACTTAAATGTCAGTCTAGATGATATTTAGGTTTATGATTTTCTGAGGGCAAAAGCATGAACTGCCTCCTCGCAAGAAAGGAGTCAAAAGATAGTTACCTTTATCATCATCTTCATCTTCTAACTTATCCTTGTCATCTGAGTCCATATCATCTATGGAAATGGCCAGCTGCTCGTTATTTACTTTGCGTAAACTTCGAACTTGAGAGGTCCCTTGAGGTGGCCATTTATTAATCTGCAGCAAAAGTCACAGGATAAATTGCTCCAATAAGAATAAGGAAAAACAAACGAGAATAATTACTCATCACCAAGTTGCACCAATAACACTAAGCAAGCAATTACAAGTTAATATACTTAACTCAAAAAGATAGAGAACCCATTAGCTTTAACGTTTGTGCAAATCACAGATTTACATGTACCTTTATCCCCTCCAGTACCGTCCACACAGCTTAATTTTTTTAACAATTACAGATCTACAGCTTGACGATTTCATCTCCTTATAGTTTCTTATGGGTTTCATTGATTTATGTTGGCCTTTCTTACGAAGAGTTAGGCCCAGTATAGATAAACCATGCAGCACAACCACTTCACAAAACTAAATAGTAGACATACTGCGCAACACCTTCGACAATATGTAATGCAAGAGTTCCAAACAAAAATAAAAGCATTGATTACAAAAGATATGTTCGCATGATCGTAACAAACAAAGTATTACAACTTCTGAGTGATTTTCACAACATGATGTGACTTCATTAAGAACATCATTATAGTACATGTCACTTCATTCAGAACCCATTATCATGCCTGTTTTTGGAAAGAATAATTAAAAGTGATACCAATTCTAGCAGATGTTTAATCATATTATTTTTAAAAACTACTTCATTAGGCCGTGTTGGGAAGCTCTGGTAGTAATTTGTTTGTTTTTCAATAAATGTAGCTCATTGTGCCAATCATGTATCTGTGAAAAACTTACATTTTAAATAACCTTACTGTTACATATGACAGTAATCTACCTTAATATAGGTCTACATTAATAACATTTTAAATAAACCTTCCAATTTCAGGCATAATAAATACTCGATCATGGCTATTCGTTAACATATCTCACATGTATATGTGCCGTATGATTTATTTAACATGTGAAATGCCACATCTTGAGGAACAAGTGATGCAACTTAACTACACCGATTAGCCCATGACAGTTGAAGCAAGCCTAAGACTCTTGACTTAACAATTAATGTCCTCCTTCAATTGCACTGGTGAAATATGCACTTATTGGAAAACATTCACATTTTTTAAAATTTGATCAGCATCAGACAACAGTCAGATGCATCTTAGTTGACTAGATAATCTTACTAACCTGGACTTCGATAGAAAAAGTTGGAAAGAATGATATATTGTGTCTATTGTAGTAAGAGGCGGACAGGGTAATACCTCAACTATCAGAAAAAATTGCTTGGAAACTCAAATAAGTTAGAAAGCTAGAAGTTTAAAAATGGCTTACCACAGGTTCCACTTCCACAATTTCGGAGGTCACTGATGCAATTTGTGCTGAATCATCATCATTTTGATGCATACTCAATCGAGATTCCTTTTCCCTCAAAGAACTCTCAAGAAGTTCTCTTCTCCGCATTAAGTCTTCAACCTTGCTCCTCTCTGTGTGCAACTGATCATCTTTGCTTTGTGACATTTGACGTAGATCTTTCAATTCGGAGATGATAGATGAGATTTGCTTCTTAAGTATTTCTTTATGTTCATGAACTTGATCGATTTTGTTTCCCTCAAGATGCAGATCATGCGTTTCTGCTCCAGAAATCATCGAATCTAACCAAGTCAGGATGTCTTGGATCTCGCGCAAGTCTTTTTTATCAGTTTCTAATGCAAGCAAGGAATCACTGGTGCATCTTGTGATTTCATCCCTCAAGAAAGAAATCTCAGAATCACGTTCTTGAAGCTGAGACTGAAGCTTATCAACCTCAGACAAAAGGGTTTCAGACAGATGATGAAGTTCATCAAATTTGTTCACGGTGATAGAAAGTTTCTTCAAAGCTTTGCCACGAGCAGCTTCAGCAGACTCCAGATCAAGATCCTTTTGCTGCACAAGCCTTTCTAAATCGGTGATTTGGTTTGTCAAGCTTTCCATTTGGGCCTCCTCTTCGTCAAGCGCCTGCAATAAAGCTTCGGCTTCTGCAGTAAACAGATCAAAACTCTTTAGAAATGAATACTTTCACAAATCATAAAACTTGAACTGGACAAGAAAGCTAATCAAACCTTGTTCTTTTGCTGTGAACGCATTTGTAAGTGATTTCACTTTTTCATGCAAATCAACCAAGATTGACTCTTGACTTTCAAGCTCTTTGACCCTCTGTTCCAACACGTTATGCTGTAGATTTACCGATTCCAGCTGCCCCTTCAAATCATTAATCTGAGCTTTTGAAGATTCAAGCTCTTGCAAGTTGCTAGTAGCAGTTGCTTCAGCTTGCTTAATCTGACTGACAAGATCCACACAGATTCTATCCTTCTGAATATCTTTCTCTGTAAGTTCTTTCTGTAAACTAGAGATTGTAGCCTTCATTTCCTTCAGGTTCACTTCCACACTCTCAACCTGAATACTGTGAAAATCCTTAACAAGCGACAATAATCTGTTCACAATATTCATGATGCGCTCCTCAAGAACAGAAAGAGTTTCTCTGCTCAAGATATCTCCTTCAATGCACAGATCTTCACCAGCAGAATCATTTGCAACCAATTGGCCTTTGCTTTTCTCAATTTCCAAAACTGAACTCTTGCAAGTCTCATACAGCTTTAAAATATATTTCCGTAGCACTAAATTTTCCGTCTCTTTCTGTTTACCTGTGGACTCTAACCAAGCAATCTCTTCCTTCGCAGATTCAAGGGAATATTTGTGGGAAGTCATTTCTCTATGAAGAGTTTCCACTGTTTCAGATAAAATGATAACTTCTTCGTGCAAACATTTGGAATGGCTCTGCAACTTTTCTTCTAAATCATTGACATTGGTCATTAAACCTTGCATGTGGCTCCCAACAAACCTCCATAAATCAATGATCTCATTGTCATTGTGGTGCTCTTCTGTTGTACTATCTAAGAATAATTCGGAACGAACGTTGACCTGAGAAGAGAATCTAATTAGAAGATAATAGGAGTATCTGTATACCATGTGAGAACGCCAACAAAAATAAGAACTCATCTTGTACCTAACTTTGTTATCAAGAGAAGGCCAAAGTAACAGGTTTTAGTGTAAGAAGTGATGACAACTATAACTCGATAAGACATCACCTTGATTTGTGAATCACTGCCGACGATAAAATTGCTGTTTTATTAAAAAGACAGAAAGAAAGAAATGATCTCGATGACCATATCCTACGAGTAACTCCAGTCTCCAAAATAACTCAACATTTTAACATTATAGCAAAATAATAGATTGAATAGTATGAGCCTCAAACAAACTTAAGAGATAAAAGGATCAAATGAATGCGGGCATGCTAAAATTATTCTCTCCTTTCATCCCAAATAAAGGTCCACAAGGAAAAAGACAGTTTTTGAAATGTCTAACTATTATAATTTTTGATTGAATAAATGACAAGTTTACCCTTATTAGCAGACAGATTTCCCCATCTCATAATTAAGGGTGGAATTGAAAAGCACACTTACTTTTGAAAGCGGACATTTATTTTGGGACAAACTAAAACTAGAAACGTGGACAATTATTTTGGGACAGAGAGAGTAACAATTAGAGATGCAGGTAACAGCTTACCTTGTTCTCTGACCTGGAACTGTTCAGAGTTTGGCCACCCACATTAGAAGTATCACTTGATTCCAGTGATGATCTAATACTAGCTTCAAGATTGTACAAGTAATCCAAGTCTTTGGGCAAGACATCATTGAGCAGATTGTAGATTTTGCTGAATCCTGGCCTTAGTTGGTCTAAAGCAGATTTCAACATCATAAGTTCAGAAAACTGGCCCCTTCTTTCCTCCAGATGAAGAGCAGATAACTGTTCGAGACGTGAGAAAGATTCATGCTTGGCAGCTTCTGCTGAATCCCTTTCCTTTGATAGTTTCGAAATTTCCATGGTGGTTCTAGAAAGCTCATCAAGAAGGTCTTCGTTCCTTTCCTGTACCTCATTCAACTCTGCAAGTAGTAGCTCAGCAGCCCTTTTAGATTTTTTTAAATCCTGTTCAGAAGAGGACATTGCAACTTGTAAATTGTGCCATTCTTTCTCAATTTGTTGCAGTTTCTCAACCGGATCATTACTTCTCAACTCAACCCCAAGATCAATCTTTGCCAAGGAACCTAAAATCGTGCTCAACGTATTCCTTTTATCCTGCAGCTCACTGTCAGCTTCCGACATAAGATCTTTTAAGAATCGAATTTCAGAATCTTTATCTTCCATCACTTCTTGGGAAGTAATCAAGTCTTTCATCTTCTGCTGATACTCCAAAAGTGAATTTTCCCGAACTTTAAGCTCAGCTTTCAAACGCTCCACCTCAGATGTCAAATCATTGATGTTTTGCTTCATACCATCTCGCTGTTGAACCAAAGACTTCCCTCTTCTAACTGCGACATTTAGCTTCTCTCTAACTGCAGCAGACTTCTGCTCCTCCTGACCAAGTAACTTCTGCAATTCTTGATTCTTTACTTCTAATGCTTCAACTTCATGGGTTAAAGCAGCAAATTTCTGCTCCTCCTGAACAAGTAACTTCTGAAATTCTTGATTCTTTGCCTCTAATGCTTCAACTTCATAAGCCACAGCAGCAGACTTCTGCTCCTCCTCAACAAGTAACTTCTGAAATTCTTGATTCTTTAGCTCTAATACTTCAAGTTCATGAGACAAAGATTGATTTGTTTCCACATGTCTATCCCTTTCATCCTTCACTCGCAATAAATCACCTTCAGCCTCCTCTAGCTTTCTCTCTAGAGCTGCTAGATTCAACTCCCATTGAGTGCTTGACTGTTCAGCACTTCTTTCACCACGAGTCAACACACTTGTTTCAGTGATGTGCTCTTCAGTTGCATCTCCTACTACATGCTCACTTAAAGGGTGTTTTGCATACTTGTCTGCTAGCTTCCTTAGTAAGCCTTCTAGCCTCTGGATATCACTTGTACTTGAGTCAAGATCTTCTGTTTCTGGAACTTGAAGAACGTCCTTGACTAAATCCTGCAGCCGCTTTATCTCACCATGAACATGGTGTATATGCTCCTCATCCACACGCTTCTCGTCCAATTTTAATTGCAATGCACCAACTTCATTTTGCAGCTTATCATTCTCGATTTCGTATAATGCAGCTTTCTCAGAAAGAACCTCCAAATTAGCAGACAGCTGTTCTCGCTCATTGGTAATTGACTGAAGAGCTGCCTCGAGGTCAACTAATCTCCTTTGAGACTCTTCAAGAACAGCATCAAGTGATCCACGGACCTTTTCCAAATCGTAAATATCTTGCTGAAGAGAGTCACAACGGCCATTTGCCTCCATTAGAGCGGCTCCTAACCACTTGATCCTATCTTCTGGCTCTAGTGATCGCAAGTGTGGGGGTATATTTATCTTATCCAGAATTTCTTCCCAACGCTGCACAAGCTTGTTTCGCTCCATCAATGATTGTTCGAGCATCTCGTTTTGCTCAGCCAACCCATAGAACTTATTTTGAAGTTCTTCGTAATTTGTTCTCAATTCATCACCTGAACTTGAAGCTGGTTCTAGATCTTCTCTCCAGCCATCCACAGCCCCTGAACCAGAATCAGGGTATAAACCAGCTCCAATTGGACCCTTTTGATTCCAACTGCTAGCAGGAAAAGAGTTCTCAGAAACTGATTTTGCTAACCAATCAATTTTGTCAATGATATCTCTGACATGGAAGTGCTCTGGAAGTTCCAAATCTTCTAGAATCTCTTCTATTCTCTGAAGAACAGAATCCTTGAGAAGAAATGACTCTCTCAACGCAGTCGCTGAATTGCGAATGTAGGAGAGCTCAGATTCAAGAGCTTCCATACGTTCACCCGCTTCAGAATAAGTTTTAAGTTTTGTTTCGGTCTCTTGAAGTGCGGCATCTTTCAACTGCAACTCGTGCAAGCATTTCTCCAGCTCACTGGATGTTGCGGTCAGACTCTGTTTCAGACTGTCACGGTGCTGAATCAGACCTTTACCTTTCGTAACAGCAATGTGGAGCTTTTCCCTCAGAGCAGATACCCGCTGCTCGGACTGATGAACTTCGGCTTCCTTAAGCTGCATTTCAGATCGAAGAGTAAGTAGCTGCTCCATTGCACTTCTCAGACTTTCCTTAAAAATGTGACTTTCGATTTCATATGGAACGATTGAGAAGCATAAGTTGTCTATTTGGTTTTGCAACTTCATCAGTTCCATTTCCTTAGGCTTCAACTTTTCTCTAAGTAAACCAACCTGCTTCTCGACACTTCTGTCTCTATTAATGAGAAAATGAATTATAGACTCGAGGGAAGACACGAGTTCATCTGGTTTGATCTCAATGTCCTCTAGCGTAACCACACTCTGAATATCTCCCAGCAAATTCATGATAACGTCTGGACGGATACACCTTTTATGTAATTCTTCCATCTCTTTTATTCTTCCCAACAACTCCAAGTTGTATTTTCTATTTAAGGATTCAAGTTGCGCTCGCTCACGAAGAATCGTTATCAATTGTTCAATAAATATGTCATAGTTGCTAATTTCTAGATGATCCAGCTGCCCACTTCTAGGACTATCATCTTGGCTTTCTTCTGTATAGGGACCCGAATCATCCACAAGTTTCTGAAGGTTATCAAAAACTTTATGTAATACATAAGCAAGCTGTTCATTTGCCCCTTCTAAATCCTTAATCTTCTCAACCATGTCCTTGTGAGAGTTAGAAAGAAAGTTGTGGTTCTTGATAGCATCTTCAAGCTTTCCCTGCAGATCCTGGATCACTGCAACAGCTGCATCAACAGAAGTAGCCACACGAGTACCTATATTCTGACCAACACCAGTTTCACTCGAGTGAACTGTCCCAATAGATGCATCCAGCTTTCTGTGAAGTATTGCCAATTGGCTGCTAAGAGAAGCCATTTGTTCCTCCTCTTCATGTAGCTTATCCACTTGTACCTGCAATTCACGGATTCTTGATTCAGATTCGCAAAGCTTTTCTGTTAGCTCAGAGTTCTTTGCTTTAGTGCTGATCCCTTCCTGCCTCAAGTCTTCACACAAAACCACAAGCTCGCCCTTTTTGGCTTCAACGGCAGACACATATTGCTTCAAAACTTCATCCAGAATCACATGCTGGAGGAATATTTCCTCCAAACTATTACTCTGTTCAATTGCATGCTGAGAATTATGTTCAACTAATATACTTTCCTGAAAGTCTCTTTGAGCAGACTTCATTTTCCAGTCATCGAACTCCCTCATCTTAGCTTCGTACATGTCCAAAGTACTAGTAAGAGTAGCATTTTCCTTGCTGAGTTGTTCAATCTGCAGGGCACCGTCTTTCAAGTCATTCATAGACTTCTCATATTCCATCTGCAGATCCTTCATTAAGGTTTTGCAGTTTGTTAACTCTGTCAAAAAATCCTCCTTTTCGGAGCTCAAATGGTCCATCTCTTCTCCAAGTTTGGTTCTCTCCTTTGTTACCAGATCAAGATTCACACTTAAGTTGGCAATTTCTGAACGCAAACTTTCCACCAAGTTCTTGAATTCCATAATCTCCGAAGAAAATTTCTTATTCTCATAAAGGAAGTGCTCATTTGCTTCCTCGAGTTTACTTCTGTCCTCCCTTTCTGAAGTAAGAACCTCATTTAACTTAGCATTCGCCACCTGAAGTCCTTCGACTGATCTCTTCCATTCTGCCAATTCAGTTAGCAGCCTCTCCTTTTCAGAAGCATAATCTTGTTTTTCCTCTTCCAGTTTGGTCTTCTCCTCCTTTACATGAGAAAGATTTCTTTTGGCATCGACATTATCAACCTGCGCTAATTCCAGTAAAGAATTGCACTCCATCAATTCTTTAATCAACTTCTCATTCTCCAGAATCACGTCTCCTTTTTCCTTCTCAAGTTTATTTCTCTCATTGGTCAATGAAGCAACAGACACATTCATGTTTTCATTTTTCACCTGCAAATCTGATAACAAACTCTTACTGTCAACCAACTCAGATGACACATTTAACAACTGATGCTCAAGTTTATTTTTCTCATCGGTCAATGAAGCAACAGACCCGTTCAGATTTTCATTTTTCACCTGCAAATCTGATAACGAACTCCTACTGTCAACCAACTCAGATGACACATTCAGCAACTGATGCTCAGACCTGTTGAGTTCAGCCTGCAACTCCTCAATGCGAGCAGAGGACCGGTCCAACTCTGTTTTCGAGGAAGAAACATTCATCTGAAGCTTCTCCATTTCACTTGTAACTCTGTCCAGTTCAGACCTACATCTGGCAAGCTCTTCAGAAAGGATTTTGTTCTTCTCTTCAAAATCACCAAGAGAAGCACTGAAAACCAATTTTTCATTAACCCACTGAAGACGATGCTCATCAAACTCCTTCTGTACATCCCATTCTTCGCATAGCTGCAGGTAAACCAATTCTTTTTCAAAATTATTGATATATAACTGCTCCTTGAGTCTCTCAGAGAATTCAGCAGAGCCAGACATCATATGATCATCATTCTTCACATGCCCACTACTAACTGACTCTCTTGCCGCAACCAGAAACCTAAATTCATCATCACCTAGAAGCTGGAACACCTTTGCAAGCTGAGTGAGGCCAGCTGGTGTGACCTCCCCACCAGAAAGCACGCTATCCGTCAAAGATACATACTCGGAATCACCTGAGGTAGATGGCAATGTTATTCCTCCATCGCCATCAAAGCCTGCCACTACATCTTCTTTTGGAATTGTAGGTGCAGGATCAGAAGATGGAACCCCATCTGAGATGGGCAAAAAACGTTGAGAGTCAGAATACACATCTGTGTTAGTATCGCCTGAATTGTCATCCACACTAGCAACTGCAGGAATGCCATCGGGTTCACTAGTTTGTTCTGTTGCACTGCTTGTATATTCCATCTTAGTATCTTCTTCACCATCCCCTGAATTAACTTGAGCTCTCTCATCAAGTATGGATGACAAAGGTTTCATGTCCCCTGCAAATTCTATCGTACTGGTTCTATTATCAGGTTCCAAACATGAATGACCATGTTCTTGCATTGCCCCTACCAAACAACAAAAAAGATTTTGATTATAAACCACAGAAATGGGTACATTTTAAAATCCGGAGACCCATTTTCATTTAAATAGCTGAAGCAAATATCATGGAATGCTGGTAAGAAATGGTAAATGAGAACAAGAGAATACAGGCACAACCTACATCTGGTACCTGATCTTCCCCACATGCAGCATTCAATTCACCTGCTTTACGAGAAAAGCCAACATCAAGTATGGCTTTCAAACCAACAGGCGTCACATGAACGTAGCCACTTTCAGGTTTTCCTCCAACATTAACTGTTTCTGGAGAATAATTAGTTGGCATCGCCTCATCAAGGTTAGAAATCTGCAGATCTTTATCTGGAACCAAAGCATCAATTGATTCATTGGCAAGCTTCAAGCTTGATCCATTTTCATCAGCCTCAGAAACTTCTATTTGTAAACTTGGTGTGGAGAATTCAGGACTCCCCGTATCAGCATTAGTAGCTACTAAGTTATCCGAGGAATCTTGTATAGATGAATCAACAGGCTCTGTGGCCGGATCTTGAACAGGCACTTCTGTGGCTGGAAGTTGTTTTTTTCCCTTTTCCGATTTGGCAACAGAAGATGCTTCATCAGTAACAACATCATGGTCTGATTTATTAGCCTTACCCGAGGGTTTACTGCCTTTACCATCCTTCTTTTGCCGATATTGTTGAAGCTGATAAAGCACACAAATAATGTTAACAACAACTTTCATACAGCATATCCTAATAATTAACTAATGAAAAAATCTGTTACCACGATATATGAATTTGCACTTTACGACGCTATGTGTAAAACAGCCTTTATTTTATTTTGCTTATAACAATAGAGAATAAGTATAGAATAAAGATTGATCACCAAAAAGACAAATATGTTGTTCGTGATTCACCAAATTGATAGTACATTCAGTTTTCAGACATTTAAAAAAAAGTCAACACCTTGTTCTCCGATCGAACATTCAATTCATTTATAACCAAAAAGCAGAAGTGGCAAATTAACAAGATTTTTGTTGCTTATGTGGCAATAAAATTAAGTTTTAAAAAATTATTTGACAACAACCCTACCCCAACACAACATGTTTTCTTTCCCCAACCAAGCAGCTCCATCTCACCAACTCCCCCTCCAGCCTAATTGCCATTAATCATAGAGTTGATTCATTTTAATCGTCACAGCCATCAGTGACATCATCAAACTTTGTTGCCAATTTTCAACTAGAAAGGTATCTGGGTTTAACAGGTTCTATATCTTTCTAAAATTCACCGTATGATGATTGATGGCTATTTTACCCCTTTGTCTAATAATACACGTTTTCTGTTTCTTGGTATATAGATTTTTATTGGTCAATAAGAGACAAAGAACTTGTGCAATTGGCTGCTCAGAACATTGTTACTGAAGTTGATGACTTGTGGAAAGTAGGTTTGTTTTTCTGGTAATCAACAAGTTAAGGTCTATTAAAACGTTTCCCAGAATACCATAAAAACATGCAGACACTTATACGTGGTGCATAACACTAGTACAGTAGTACTACAATTTGGATAAACACATTCAGTGTCAAGACGGAAGAGGATGCAAAGAATGCATTAACAATAAGATTAAGCAAAGAAGAAATCTTGTTATGGCAGCCAGGAAAAGTTTTCTATTACATAAAAGCATAAAAACTGTTCCATTTAAATGGGTTTTAGGGTTTTAAGTAGGCATGAGCATTGTTACAAGATTAAGTCATTCTACATCTTTTTGGCGCTTTGTCAACAGCAAAATTGACATCCCTCTCAAAACATGAATCCCCCTTTCAACAATGTCAAAATTCGATAAAAACCTAAACGCTAAACAAAGCAAGAACAATCAAAATCATCAACGCTTTTAGTATAAGAAGCAATTACAAAACCAACAAACATCAAGCTATTCAATCAAATTCCAAAATCTCTCCACTCAATCAAACAGTAAATATCGGTTCTAACTAACATACCAACAAGTTTAAATTGGATTAAATCAACACAATCCTAACCTTTTTACGGCCAGCAGCGAGCAGATCGGTCCGGTTTTTATTTTTATCCATCAAAACTGATTCGTTTAAATCCTCAAAACCCAAATCATGTTAAGGCTCTCAACCCGCCTCTAGATCATTAAACACCTGCAAATGCAGCAATTCCGGATTAAAACATGGAAAATTAACGAATCCATGATGATGAAAAAGCAAGAAAAAGGAAAAAGATTGGAACTAACCTTTGAGCTGCTTGAGGGATTTGGATGGATCTTGTGGGTTATGGAGATTGGAAGCGTTTTTCTGGTTTAGATCTAAAAGAAGGGATGTTTTCTCTCGGTTTAGGTAAATATAAAATGCAGATGTTACGATACGTCTTCTTGTTGGGTAGGGTATGGTTTCAAGATTACGCTTTCGGTTGTTTGATTAAAGAAAACCTAAAAAATTTGAGATCTTTTTTAACAAGTTGTTACGTGTTTTATAAACATTTTATAAAATTATAAAGAAATTAATTAAAATAGTTATCTTCGATCTGTAATTTCATCTCTTAGTCATTTGTCTTTTAAAATCATCAAAATGTCATTTTGGTTTGCAGTATTTTACAGAGGGGTCAAAAGGTTGAAAATGTTTTTGAATCAGATTCGTAAAGTGCAGGGATCAAATATGTAAATTTGAAATAACATATCATTGTTGCGGATATATTTTTGCAGACTAGAAGAGTACTCGCGTAATGCAGCAAGATACATCTTGATTTTAATGTTTCATTTTATTTTTTATCTCAGTCGATGTTATAATATGGCCTTATGTGATTTTGAAAATGCGATGATGTTTTTATTTTTGAATAAAATATAAATTTGAAAATATTATAAAATTTTGATAAAAATATATCGATATTAATATCAAATTAACTATTTAAAATTTATATTTTTTGTGTAATTTTTCAATCAATTTCTTTATTATAATTTAATTTAGGTTCAATAACGAAGTAATTTATATTTAGTTTAATAATATAAAATATAATAATTAATTATTTTATTAGAACTCGATAATCATCTTAATTATATTTTAGATTTTTTATATTCTAAAATGAGATGTTTATCCTCTATTTGATTATGTTTATCCGTAGTTAGTTACACGAATTCAAACATCGAGCTTTAATAAGTTACTAGAAGGGTACTCGTGCAATGTATCGAGACACGTCTTGATTTCAGTTTCTCGTTTTATTCATTTTTTTATGTCGATATAATACGGTTTTATTTGGTTTTAAGAAAATGATAATGTTTTTATTTTATTTTTGAATAAAATATAATAAAATTTTGAAAAAATATATATCGATATTAGTATCAAATTAATTTTTTAAAAGTTTTTATGTTTTGGTGTAATA